GTGCGGTGGCTTTGGTGGCAGAGATTGTCTCCCATCTCAGGAACTGCCTCCAGTCTCTTGAGTCTCCTGCCAGTAAAGTTTGGGTGATAGCCACCCTTTTGGCCAACAGCCTGGAGACCACCTGAGCTGAAGCTCCCTAGCTGGGGCTGTGACAACTCACATGGTCTGCAGATGGGCACAGAGGAGGACCTGTAACCCACACTGGGCAGTGGGAGGATGTTGATATGAGGCCAGGATAGGATTCAAGAGGGAGAACAGTGGTTCCCAAATCAAGGGAAACAGTCTCCTCGGGAGCGGATTATCAGAGAGGTCGGGCACCTGTAATTCATTTGCCTTGGACACAAGCTGGGGTGCTCAATTGGCCAGATCTTTGCTTGGGCTCTTGGAAGCGCTTCATGGGGAAAACAAAGACACACGGGTTAAATAACTCAGCGTGTGGTCTAAGTCAAGTCCTCAGCAGAGTGAGCCAGAGAAGCCAGGATCTCTCACTCCCAGTCCAGTTTTCTAACCGTGCCACCTTGCTCCCAAAGGTGGGGCCTCTGCATTTCACAAATCTGGACAATTTTTTTTTTCTTTTCTGGAACCGAGCTTCAGCACAGCGGCACAAAGCCATGCAGTGAGCCCGGGACTGTCCAGGAGGGCCCTGCAGGGCGCACCCGAAGCTGGGAAGAATGGGCTGCAGAGGGCTCCGCTGCTTTGTCTTCCTTGTTCTAGGATGCCCACGAGTTGTGCTCGCCCTGGTCTCCGGTGAGGCTGTGCAGCTCCCCACTTGCCAGGTGGAGCGGGGTGGGGATGGAAGATGTTCCCAGTGCCTGCAGCCATTCAGTTGCTGACAGTTGTGTTTGAAGTGTTTCCCTGTTGCACTTTTGTTTAAACCTTGGCTTCCCCCACCCCACAATCCCGACTGAGCTCCAGCGAAATCAAAGTAGCAGCTCTGCCTGGTGTGACCCACAGTTCTGATCCGAGCAGATAGCGCACAGCAAAGGCCTGACACGAACAAAGGAAGGAGAGGCTCACCTAGTCGTTTCATTACACCGTATACTGGTGGTTTAGACAACCACAGGACGGTGCAGCCCTCTGCTTGCTGGCTTGGAGAGCAGGGGCGACGTTGATTGGCGCTGAACCCCCTCCACTCCCTTTGGAATCAACCCGATATTTGCTGGCCTGGCCTGTGTCAATTCCCCCTGTACGAACTGGGCTCAAGATGCACCAAGGAACAGGCGGGAAAAGGAGGAGATGAAAGAGAAAGACACACGCAGAAGCTCCACTCCCTCGTGCTGCCTTCTTTCTCCCAGAGAAAAGACACACTGTCTCTCAGCCCAGACCAACAGATCCAGCACACCAGAGGGGTCTGTCCCCTCCGCTAACCCCCATATTTTCGTTTGCAGCTATCCACCCGCCCCCCCCGCTCATTTCAGGATTATGATGATTTCATTTAGTATTTCGACAGCCCCACAGCCGTGCCTTACAGAAAAAGACAAGGGAAGTCCCCAGCCCAGCCGGGCGATGCTGCACACACTTAGAGGCCCCAAAGGAGGGACTCCATCGTAGTAGGTACAGTACAAACACACAGTAAGACGCAGTCCCAGCCCCGATGAGTTGGCCATGTAGCACAGCCCTCGTTAGCACAGGGCGCTCCATTGGAGTCAGAGGAATTACTCCTGGTAGTAAGCGTTGCAGGATGGTCCAGTGGTTAGGGCACTAGCCTAGGTCTTGGGAGACCCAGGCTTAATTCTTGGCTCCATCACAGACTTCTTGAGTGAGCTCAGGTAAGTCACCGAGGGTACATCTACACTGCAGCTGGAGGTGTAATTTACAGCTCAAGGAGACATACACGTACTACCTTTAGTTGAGCTAGTGCACGGAGAGTAGGTCTACACTGCAATAAAAAACCCACTGCTGTCAGGTGCTAAGCACTCTCACCTCCTGTTAGCACTAAGGGGAGCTGAAGATACACCCGAGTGGCTGGGGGTAACACTGAGCGGGTTGAAATTTTTCAAGTTTTTTTGTTGCTGTTGTGATGGTGAAGGCAGGAAATGCCTTTTTAAAAAAAAAAAAAACTTCTCTCATCCCAAACTGTCAACATTGTCAGAATGGTTCCTCTTGCGTCAAAAACGTCATGCCTTTTTACAAAATAAAAATTCAAAGGGGTTTATAGCTAAATAGTTAGCACCAGTTTTTGGAGGGGCTTTTGGTAAAGGAAAAATTTCACTAACTTCTTTGGTGGGGGAAATAGACAATATGTAGGAAATTTTGAAAAAGAAAAAAAAATGGGTCCATTTGGAACACTTTGAAATGAAAACAAATTCATAAGTTAATACTTTTTTTTCCCCCCTCAGTGAAAATAGGTCATCATATTTCAGCAAGTTCTGGTAACACAGGGAAAAGTCATGAGTTATGCTTTTGTTGACAATTCCCATCAGAGCCTTTAGCTTTGCTTTTTAGATCTAGAGCCAGATCGACCGAGATATTTGGGTGCCTGAAGAGGCAGATACGTGCCTAACCTGCTTTGACACTTAAGAAAGTCCCAGATGCCGTACTCCCATTAAAAGTCAATGAAAATAAATGCAATTCCCAATAGGCACCTATCTGCATCTTTAGGTGTTTGTAAATCTGGCCCTAGTACTTTTCCATTCTTTATAGTTATAATATTTGTAGCTGGGTAACTCTTCCTGGGAGGAGACAAGATACCTGGGGGGCTGTTTGGTTTGTTCCAACTTATTAGATCTTTTAAAAATGGAAGAAAACCAGCCCTGAATTAACAAGCCTTTCAAAGGGGACTTCTCCATGGGGAGCTCGTAAGCAAAATAAGTTACTATTATGAATAGCAATAGCCCTTCCCCTGGCAGCGTGAATCTGTGAAAATAAAATGAACTTTTCAGGAAGTTCAGTAAACGTGTCTGGTTATTTATTAATTCACAGAATAAGAGCTAAAAACAGTTTTTAAAGAATCAAATATAGGCCAGATCCCTTCAATTGGCTTAGATCCATTGGCATCAGCGGAGAGATCTGACACACAAAACTTAGCCGGAAAGCCCGATCCCGCGCTGAGCACCCTTATAGTCTATTGTGGTTTTGGGGAGAAATGGGGGCCAAGAGCTCTTAGCAATTCACAGGATTCAGGCTTGATGGCTTATTGTAGCAGGGGCAAAGGTCTTGGGGGACAACACTGAGAAGCTAGAATTTCACTGCAGTATCTGCTCACATGTTGTCTCAGTCTCCCCTTAGTCTGTTCACTTCTAAAGACCCTGAACATAGCAGGCAGCTACAGAGGTTGCATTAAGAGAGTCTCTAAAAAATTAACAACGGAACAGAAGCATTTCCTCCACCACGGAATACAAGATCTTTACAGATTTTTATTTCTCTATATGGCTTCAAGGCCCTTAAAGCAATATTCACTCAGCTCCGATTATTCATTCATGTTTTTTTAAATAAAGGTGCTTCACCTGTGCACTTTCACTGCCAATTCATCACTATTTTCCTGTTTAAATACTGCTAGTTACTAAGCTAATTTAAAATGAACGTATTCTATCTAGTGAGCTCAATTCTGATCTCAGCTATACAAGTTTCATATCAATTCAACACCACTGACTTCAGCCGAAATTACTCTGCAATTAACCAAGTGCAACAGAGCAAAATCAGGCCCAATCACTGTGTAAAGAACTGATACTAGAAAGAGAGCTTGACTCATGTAATGAGCTAAAGTTCCCCGGGCTTGAAACAATTAAAAAGAGATTGCTGCTATCTTCCAGGAAATATAGGGCCAGAATTTCACAAGAGCTGAACACCTATGTAGACACCATAACAATGGGCCAGATTGGCTGCGCATTGGATGCAGGGCTGTTTTGAATATCTGGCCCACATTGTGAGCATGGAACACTTAAAAATCTAGCCCTGCGTTCTTTTGAAAATCTGGGGTGAAATCCTAGCATCACTGAAATGGGACTTTTGACATTGACTTCAGTGAAGTGAGGATTCTAACCCTTCCACATAGAAATTTGCACTAACTAAAGGAGGCGTTCCTGGCTAACCCGATAGAACTTTTCCTTTTCTGAATAAAGGACTAGTTCACGTCCTATTATAATGCAATTATTTTGTTCGCATTTGAAACTCTGTTTTGTGGTAATGCAGACAGAGATTCTTCACCGACTTCCGCTGCAAAAGAGCCCTGCACATTGGCTAGGCGATGTCATACCGAGATCTGTGGAATAGCTGGCTATGTCACAACGGGTGCTGCTGGGTTCTCAGAACGTTTTGAAATTTTGGTGCACATTTTGATGCCTAAGTGGAAGCGGAGCCCTTTTGAAAACCTGGCCCCAGTTGTGAGTGCCAACCACTTGTAACTCTGACCCAGAGCTCTTTGGAATCTTTGTCCTGAAGTCAAAGCCCATTATAGTCAATGGGAGCCTGCTTGAATATTGTAAAATATGAAAGTGACACATCCGGTATATTGCACACTCTCCTCCAGTGGGACTGGAGGATTCGGTACAAATCTGTGTTAAATTTGCATTAAAAAAAAACCAGCTAACGGCCACGTTCATCAGCAATCCATATTCAGGGAGCACTGGAGTAAAATGAACACCAGAGTAATCCCTGTTGTTACTTTACTCATTCCAGTGGCATATACACCAAGCAGGAATGTGACCCTGGGAGTTTTGTCTGCGTAAAGACTCCTGAATAGGCCCTGAAATACAATAAAGAGCTATCTGTGCAAGGGTGGGTACTTCAAGACTATATTAACACTATTAACCCATTTGACCGCCCATTGGATCTATTTCTGTGCTTAATCATGATGAACATTACTGAGCTTTGAACTGGTTAACAGCTATTAAGAAAAGATCTTTCATTCCCACCTGGGGGTGAGCTCAGATTTACCCCAGTGTGAATTCCTGACCAACACACAAGCTGGTTTGAGGAGTCGGACGCAAAGCACAGAACACAACATCCAACAATGCATGCCTCCCGCCTCGAGCACCCCACGTCCTGGGATAGTCTCTTACCTGGTTCCACTTGGTCGGGTTCGTTGCGCGCTTCTGTGGAGTCTGCCACATTGCCACTCATCTTGAGTGCTGAAAAGAAGGCACAACTGATTTTAATAACAGACCCAAGCACATGTGGCTTCCACTGAACAACACAAATCAATGTGTAATTACAATAAGCCATCAGACTTTCAAATTCTTGCTTCCTCAACATAGAATATTCATCAGCTCCGAGGATGCCTTTTCCCTCCTGTTGCTCTCCGCATTTCCCTCATTCCTTTCCCCCTCCTCAATAGACAACTGTGCTTCTCACCTTTTGCGTCGTTCATTTCTGGCATCAGAGTGGCAATCGGGGTGCGAGCTCCCCTTTCCTTATTGGCCTCTCCCCAGAGTTTATTACACCGGTTTCTTGACTGAGCTAACCAGGGAGAAAGGACTCCACTGTTGCTCCTCAGTTCGGGGCCCAATCACTGACTCTCCTGACCTCTTTCCCCCTCGCCCATTGTTCGTTCAGCAATGACAATGTGTCTGGTGCTGTACAAAACATACAGTAAAGATGGTCCCTAAAGAGGCGCGCACAGTGATGATGAGATGGAGCAGAAGAGGGAATACTTTAGAGGGGAGTCTCTCTCTCTCCTGCCAGTTACCTCTCCAATTCAATTTGCCTCTCTCCGTCCCACTCCCACCTTGATCACGGCTCCCCTCCAAACTTCTCCTGCCCCATGTTTGTTCTTTAACTTCCAAAAACACAGAGTGTGCCACTTCATGGCATATTGACATCCCAAAGACAATCAGAGCAATCTGCCACCTAACTCCAGCATTTCTGCCGGAGCCCTTTTTATCTCAATAAATCAAACATTTACCCTTAAAGTGACAGCTGCCACCACGCCTGGGGTCAGAACCTTCTTCAGGGACAGCTGAAAGAAAGGGAAGGGGAGAAATAGTCAACTTTGCCCTAACTTGCCGTATAGGTCGTCTTCTTATTAAAGAGCCAAAGCACAGAATCAGTTGAAGAAGGAAGAATACTATAGTCAAATTCACATGGACTCCCCCCTTTCTGCCTTCCAGGAGAATTTTAACTCTTTCCAACCTAGCTGGACAAATAAAAAAAAAGAACAAACTGATTAATTTGCATAGGCTTCCAGCAGCCAATCCCCATTGAGGAGCTAGGCTGATTTGCATGAGGTAATACCACCACCATGTGCAAGCTACATGCACCCATGGTTTGGCCTGGATAAAAGAAGCAGGTGGAAACCTTCCCCTTAAAGAGACATTGCCTGAATCAGGCAAACTTTTTAAAAAAAAACATAAACCAATTATTTTCATGCAGCAAGGAGAGAGAAGAAATCAATACTGTTTTCATATCCACTCCCCTGTGTTACTAATGCTAACGCTGCTTGACAATATTCCAATGAAGCTTTTAGTTTTTCGATAGAAAATGCCTTTTTTGACCAAATTTAAGTTTTCTTATTGTGGTCAACATTTTTCATGGCCAACAAAAGGTTTCAAAATGGAAAATTAGATTTCATTTTGGTGGAGGAGAAAAGTAACACACACACTTTTAAAGCTGTTTTCTACCGGAATAAAAGTTAAAAAGTGGGTGGAAGGGGTTTCTTTCTTACCAAAGCTCCATTTGGGCCTGGATTTTGGTTGGGGTCTTTAGGGAATAAGAATATAACCAATTGTACTGCCGTCCTACCCAGAATCCCAGGCTGAAATTGAGGTGACAGCTGGTTGAGAAGTGGTTTTTACTCCCATGAAACTGTTGACAAAAAACAAAACAAACAGATTTTTGTTTTGTCAAAAAAAATTTTTTTTCAAAAGTTTTTGGGGTTTCATCAAAACAAAAACAAAAATAAAAACAAAAAAGCTCCCAAAACTAAAAACAAACAAGCAAAAAAATGGGTCCCCCCACCACCCAAAAAATTAATCCAAAACTAACATGGAAATTTCCATTTGGACAAAAATGCCGGTTTTTTTTAAACAGTTTAAAACCCCTCTAAAAATGCCTAGTATTTCTTGAGTATCCAGGACAGTGGTTTTCAACCTTTTTGCAGACCCCCTAAAAAGTTTTGAATGGAGATGCAGACCCCTTTGGAACTCTTAGACATAGTTGGTGGACCCCCAGGGATCCGTGGACCACAGGTTGAAAACCACTGATCTTGGATGTGGATTTGGACTTTGTGTGCAGCAACGTAACTCCATTGGGTTTAGGAGAGTTACTCCTTATTTACACCAGCGGGAGAGAAGATTCAGGCCCTCTTGTAATTTTTTGGGCTAGGATGGTTGGTTCCAGCTGCAGTGCTGCCAACTATCATGATTTTCTTGCCAGCTTTGTGATATTGGCTGCTTCTGTTAAAGCCCCAGCTCCTGGACTCAGGTAGTTTTCAGAGATTAAAGTACATTTCTAGCCCTTGCGGTTGAGAAGCAGAAAATGTGACACCCCTCCTACAGGCTCAAACAGCAAAAATCGAATACCCTCCCCCATCCCAAAAACCACTTTTTTTAATCTTATGGTTTTTAAGACGATCTCATGATTGTTGGGGGCAACTGGCTCCTGATTTTTGGAAATGCTGCAGCTGACATCCTCGAAGGATTCCTCAAAAGCTGGTGAGAAATAAACCCAGGTATAGATGGCTAATGAGATGCCAGTCTGTTCTGTGCAAAAGGAAACATTTATTTACAGCTTAAGAGCCCTCCCAATAAACATGTGACATGATAAAACATAGACACATCAATAAACTTGCAGCAATCAATTCCTCCAGATAAAGTCTGCTGCTAGACTGGAAGCCAATTTAAATTCATAATCTTCCTACGGCTTCGTGTTTCCACTACAGCTTTGCTATGTAGGACATTTCACACAGAATAAGCAGGGTAATAAAAATAAATGGGGAAAATGATGATGTGGATCTGTTTTAAAGCCCTCAGCTACTGGGATGTCCTGAGTTAAATGCAGTCACTGTGGTCTACTCTACACTAGAAAAGGTTTGCTGGTGTAGCTAAATGGATATAGATCTCCCACCAAATCCTCTTAGTGGAGATGCAGCTTATATGCATAGTGCTTTTGCCAGTCTAGTTTATATCAGATCTACAAATAAAATAAGCGATACTGGCAAACACTCCTTTTTGCTGGTATGACTGTGTCCACTTTGAACTGCATGCTAATAAAGACCAGCAAGAGGTGTAGCTAACAGGAACAAACAAGCCAGGGGGAGAAGTGTCTTATCTGAGGGTGCACTTCAAAGGTTCACTGGACTAGTACTGGAGGACAAGTAACACATTTTGGGATCCAGGCATTGGGGAAACCTCTTGACGGGCCTGGGATGTTCATGAATGCTTGGATCCTGGTTGACTGAAAACTAGCAGCTCTTCCAAAGAATGACTCCTTGGGAAAAAATCTACTTTGTTATATAGGAAAAGAAACCACTGATAAGCATAGACCTTGGATTGCCGTTTGCCTGTGCAACTATTTCTATTTCCACTTATAATCCTTACTCACTAGAACTCTTAAATCTTAACTTTTAGTAATAAATTTATGATTGTTTCACTATAAATAGATGCCAGTGCTGAGACATTATAAAGGACCTGATCCTGAGTTGTGCCAGTCACGCTGCGTGTACACTGCTCCTTCAGGCACAGCTTACCTGGTAATTTCGGTGAGTGGCCAGTGACAGGGCCTGGCCACTGCAGGGAGCGCTCTGAGCACTCAGGGGATGGGGTGCTCCTATCATTAGCCTATACAGAGAGGGGGTGGCCTGCGGGGACCTGGAAGGCAGTGCTTGTGTGACCAGAGGCTGCTGGTTTCAGGGAGCAAAGATAAGACTGCTTCATGTTAGAGGCAGGTAGTGGTGGAGGGCCTTACAACTCTGGGGAGCATGACAGGTGCTGAGCACCCACAACTTGCTCTAAAATCAATGGGATTTGCATAGGTTCAGTACCACTGAGAATCGGCCCAACCTTATTTAGTGAGGTGCCTATATATGGATTTAGAAGCTGCCTTTAGTACATATCCTGCCCCCGCCCCAATAGAAAACATTGGCTGTGGATGACAAAAAAAAAAAAAAAATTAAAAACATCGAACATACTTCCTATCATAAATGGTAAAGACATTTCTCAGTTGCTGGAAGTTTACTGATTTCAGGGCAGTTACGCCAGCAGGGAATTTGGTCCAAACCTCCGTTTGGACAATGAAACTAGCCTCATCAGTAGAGCTGGTTGGGAATTTTCTGACAAAATGTTTTGGTGGCAAGGCTCACGTCTGATGAATTTTTCCAATTAATTTTTTTTTTTTGCAAAGAGTTTTGAAGTTGTCCAAGCATTCTAAATGAAAAAAGGCCCGGTTTATGGTTCCTTGCATTTTGAAATTTAAGCTAATCGTTTTCATTATTTTTTTAAATGGTTGAAATCAAACCAAAGCGTTTTGAAATCCACGTTTCAGTTAACTGAAACCAAAACATTTCTCAACATCGGGATATTTTGGAGATTTCAGCTTTTTTGTCCTAATTCTGGATGTGCACATTTTTCAAAACATCGGAAAAATTGCTGAGAGGTGGGAAAGCAGTTTCTTGCCCAGCTCTATTAGTGAGTTTCACTTCTGTATATAGCCACTTTCACCAGCTGGCTCTCCTGCCCTACATTTCTGCAGAGTTTGTGCTGCAAACCATACCAGGGAAGTTTTCCATCCAGACAAAAACAAACAAATAGTTTTCATTGGAATTTAACAAGCCATCGAGACATTTCTATAGATCATAGGTTTAAAAAAAAAAGTCCTACTAAAACCTATTTGGCTTAAATGAGACTGGCTGGGGATTGTTTTTAAAATCAAAATGATACTTTTTAAAGATCTTTAGATCACCCACAGATTGGGCGTCAGATCCTCAGCAGGTATAAATCAGTGAAGTCAATAAGTTATCCTGATTTACACCAGCTGAGGCTCTGGCCCAGTATATTTAGCCTGAATGTCAAATCTCTTATTTGGAAAAAATCCGTTCCTCGCTCACTTACTTGCCGACACACGAGTCTGTATTTGGGTGTTTTTATTGCAACATTCGAATAGCTCAAGGACCGGTGCAGTGTATAAGGACAACGGAGGCCCCTGCTTTATTTCAGGTCCCTGAATCTTCATCAATTGCTCTGGAGAAGCAAAGAACCTCAAACTGAGTTCTTGGTAGGTGAAATGTCAGACACTGGTTCAAAGTCCATTAAAATGAATGGGAGTCTTTCTAGGGACTTAAATGGGCTTTGGGGCAGACCCTTAATTTGCTTTTAACTTCCTCCATCAAGGCTTTTGATCAAGCAGGGCTGTCTGAACAACCTGCAGCATCCATGACACCACAGCATTCCTGAGTCAAAAGCGGAGAGTGATATGATGGAGTCAGCAGTCTCTTCTGCTCCCAGGACTGTGAGGTAACGCTAAGTCACTCAGACTTCAGTTAGTTCGTCTGGCAGCCCGAGAGAACCACAGGGTCAGGTCTGCATCCAGCCACCTCAATAAAGAATCCATCTTCTACTGACTGCAACCAAATCCTCCCTGCTCTCTGCGATGAAAAAAAATGAGCAGGGGGATCTCCTGCCACACTCTGAAGGCTGGGGATCCTGACTGGCGCGTGCAACATTTCATTACAGTTCTGGCACAGGGCACGTGGGACGTTCAGTGTGAGTGTGTGTGTGTGTGTGTGTGTGTGTGTGTGTGTGTGTGTGTGTGTGTGTGTGTGTGTGTGTGAGTGTGAGAGAGAGGAGTGTAGATGGGCCACTGATTTTTGAGGGCCTTCCCTTTTGGGTGCATGTTAAACACCTTGGGCCTGATTTTCAAGGCACTGCTGAGCACGTCTGCTCCCACTGACACCAGTCTGGGAAGCCGCTAAGTGCTCAGCTCTTTTGAAAATCGGGCCCAAGTTGGGAGCCCAAAAATCCATGGCCACCTGTAAACATTTGGCCCCTATGACTGGGCAGGGTGCTCAGCCTGATCCCAAGAGCATGAGAGGGTTTGGAGGGGGAGAAGCCAGCCCCGATCAAACATATCAGGCCCAGTCCAGCCTGGGAACAACAGCATGGACTTCGATGGAGCTGCTCCCACTTCTGCCATGACAGAATCTGTCCCCCCTGGGCTGAGCGGGTTCACTGAACTCTGTTTCTCTCCTGCTCTCATAAACCCCTGCGTTTAAGACGACAGCCCCAACCCAGATACTCTCACAGCCGTGTCACAGTGCACAACAGTTGGCTTGGCAATCTCCTGTGATGGGGGGAGGGGGCGTGTTGACACCCACAGAGATACACACACCAGAGTGCCCCATGCCGATAGCTGCACAATGGACTGACCCAAAGATGCCTGGGCTCGCATGCAGACACTAGCCTACACCCCGATGCACACAGCTCTCCACACCAGCAAAGAAATGCACCCCCGATTATATATGCCAGCACACACGTAGACACGGACATATGCCTGCGTGTTCTCCAACATGCATACATCCTGCCCGGTCTCTGGGGGCTTGTCAGGGCTTGTCTTCACTGTAGAGTTAACTTGAGCTTGGCCCCTAACTCGAGTCCTGTCCACACACAAAACCCCTAAACTCGAGTACAGCGGCGCTTCTAATGCGAGCTGGATGGCCTGTCGGTCTGGGGACAGGCTGCAGCTCAGGTGAGCACAATGCCTCAGCTGCTAACAGCCACGCTGTGCGGCTTGAGGGTTATTTCCCAGGTCTACACTGAGAAGTTAAGCTGAGCCAGCTATGGCTGAAAAACACATGCTCCTGAGTGACCCAACCCCCGGCACAGACAGTGTTAGCCATGGCAACGGAAGAACCCCTCCTGTCTCCGTAGCAGCTGCCTACACACTGAGGTGCGAGGGCAGCACTGCTGTAGCGTTTCAAGTGTAGACAACCCCTCAGAGCAGCCATCCTCTCTGGAGAGGAGCTCTGCAGTGTAGACACGCACGTGAGCCCCAGCACGCCCACCTCAGCCAGTCAGGCTTTTGCTTGACATTCCCTGCTCGTTTCCTTCCCCCTCAATGACCCCTGTCAATTTCCCCCAGCCCCATCCACCCAAACGCCCCCCTCTTCCCCAGTCCCCCCATTCCTTCTGTCTTCTCTGCCCCCTTTTCTCTCCAACTCTCAGCAACCAAACCTGAGCCCCCTCCCCTATATTCCCTAGGAGCTGCTAACTCATGGCATGCCCATCCTCAGTGTCACCACCTGCCTCAACATGGCAGGGGACCAGATTCAATGGAATCGTGTCCCAGGTCCCCCCCTCGCCCCCCAACTTGACTCCAAAACCTCTGCAGCCTGCTGGGTTACACCAGAGACAGTCCTCCCTCCCTCTTACCTGTGTGCACAGACTCCAGATTCACCATCCTGCTGGTGGGACAGACTCCACAGCGCGCCCAGCCTCCTGCAGCCAGCCCCAGACTGGCCTGTGGGGCTGCCAGTTTGCCCCCACCTCTGAAGCCGGGCTCAAGTCAGCTCCAAAGCACCTACACCTGCATTGCCCGGCGACACACTGGCCCAGGTGAGCATGCCGTGCACTTGTGGCCACGCCCCCCGCCCCCTGCTTGGCAGCATGCTGATGTTCTGAGAGCCTGGCACGCAGCCCATGCAAAACGCCAGGATTTGCATATTAGTAACTCTGGAACTGTTGAGTCCCTGCAGCACTAAACAGGGGGTGGGGTGCTCGGGAGGAGGAGGCAGCCGTCTCCATATGCTCAGTGCCGTGTACACACCTCGGAGCACCTGCCTCCCCTCCCCCTGCCAAGCCTGCAAAAGAAGGGGCTTTGCTGAGACTCGGCCATCAGAGAGCCCTGGATCCCTGTAGGAAAGGAGATGGGCTCCCTCCTACCTCAGTGCAGACAAGAAAGGCCAAGACACCTGCCTTGGCTTGCTGGATGGAAGCCATCAAAGGACCGAGAGCCAGGATTCTACCTACACTGCTGCTCAGCCCTTAGATAAGGCTTTTGATCTTCTAAGCCCTGAACAGACACTGGTCCCCACTCCCACCATCGGATTCAAGGACGTGCACTCCTGCGCCCCACGGGGATCCGTGTGGGCGTGGGATCTGCCCAGGAGCCGGGCCAGGGTAATTAAATTAACCCTGCAGAACCAGGGTAAACAACTCATGAACCGGCATGATACGCATCTGTACAATGGGGAAAGGGGGACACAGAGAGACAAGATGACTTTCCCAAAGAGCGGAGGCAGAGACATGGACTCAGGAACTCCTGTCTGTCAGACGTGTGCTCTGTCCACTAGGCTATGCTCCCTCTCTATGAGGCCGATACCCTTCTTCCTACCCCCCATCCACGGAGGTACTTACACAAGGGGAGTGGAAAGATAGAACCACATTTGTTGGGTGACCTCGCAAGGCCCAGATCCTTCTCTCGCCGACACCAGATCCCCACTGATGTGACACCATTGACTCAAGTAGAGTCACTCCACATTTCAGTCGGATAGCAGAGAGCAGAATCAGGACCCCGATGGGTGCCAGCCCACAGATAACTCAATCACTCGGCAACCTGGATGGGCCCACAACACTCATTGAGGGTTCACACACTCCCCTCAGTGTATGTTAAAGGCCCACAGCAGGCTTAGAGGGTCACCTGCTCAGATCTCTAATCTGGAATTTCAGGGAGCTGGGAGTCTCGCCATGAAGCCACCCTGAACTCCACTTCCGGGCAAGCCTACGCTACAAAATTAAGTCGACCTAAATTATGTCAATGTACAGCCACCGCCATCATTGAATCGGTTTTACACATCCACACTACGCTCCTTGTGTCGGCGGTGTGTCGGCGTCACCAGGCGCGCTCGCACTGATTTAACTGCCAGGGCGGGGCCTTGTGGGGCAGTTTCTAAAAGGCAGCAACAGTTGAAGTAAGCAACACGTGTCTACACGGACGCTGCATCGACCTAACCACGTTGACCTAAGTACCACGCCTCTTGCGGAGGTGGCGTTATTAAGTCGGTGTAGTGGACGAGTGACATCGGCGGGAGCGACATTTTAGCGTGGACCCTTACCGAGTTAGGCTGACGCCAAGTGCCATATGGCGATCTCGCTCTGGAGTGTAGAGAGCCCTCAGAGTGTATATTTGCTCCCAGAATTGTCTGCGGTCTCCTTTCCTCTCTGCCCCCGCCTGCACCACTCCCTAACCCAGGTCTTCTGATCTAAGTGCTCTCACTCTTTGTAGCTGAATGTCTGTGCTCAGATCTGCCCAGGCCTCTGTGCCGGGAATCCATCCTGAAAAGTGTTTACGAGCTCTCAGGAGCTGCCAGGTGCAAGCTATCACACATCCATTTCTCTCTCCCTAGTCCACATTCTGGAGCACTCAGCTTTCCCACATGCCGCACTTCCTGCTCCCTGGAAATACTGGTTTCTTCTGGGGATAGGCGGGATTGTTTTGCCCAACAGCCAACCCCCCCTGGGTTTGAGAGCCTGAGTCAGATTCTGTGGCCGGGAGAGACGGGGGAAAGAATGGGATGGTGCGGGAATCCCCAGGGGAGTGGGTGGGGGGGGACCACAACCAAGCGTGTGAACGAAGAGACAGAGAGGAAAAACCGGGCAGAGAGATGGAGGGTGAAAAGCAGAGGGGAAGTCGGGGTTGGGGAGGATGGAACAATTCTAAGGAGAGTCTGTGAACATTTTCAAAGCTGCAGGGCAGAAGGGAGGCTCAGATCCATATTTAGGTACTCATGGGCTGATTTCAAAGGGGAGGGGCCCTTCCTGCTCCCATTAGCCCACATCAGAGAGGGCAAGACCAGGCTGCCCCATTGCTATCAGTGACGCCAATACAACATGTGTGACTCACCCCCACATCTCGGCCGACACCAGGAACCTCCCAAACTAAAAGCATCAGTCTCCGCTGCTGGGAGCTGCTCCCGACTTGTATCCTATGTGGATTGGGCACAGAGGGGGACACTGCACATGCTGACCAATGGATTACACATGCAGCCTTCCCTTACTTGATACCAAGAGTTTTTGTCGGGAGCTCCCTGCTGCTGGACACCCAGCCATCAGCTCCTAGGGGATGGGCTCAGTTCTGATGCTCTCTTCCTTGATCCTTTGCTCCATAAGCATGCAGCCACCTCTGGGGCTGAACACAGCACCAGAACACAGTCTAACTTGAGTGTTAACACCACGTGCTTCTAGCTGGACAGATGGCCTGGCCTGGGTGACAGACCTACTTCTGTGACCCTAGCCTGTATCTCAGGTGCATCTGACTAGCTAGCTCCCTCCTCTCCACCTTTCTGGGCTGCGGCACAGATGCAGAGCACCTCCTTATGGTCCCTCGGGAGACTTTTGATGTTTATTCTGCAAGCGATGAAATGAACGTACATGAAAGGGATTGGAAATTCCGCAATGACCGGAAAGCTCAATCTTGGAGTTTGGATGCAGCTTGGGAGATGAGAAAAGACAGGCACTCCTGGCCTTTGGTAGGAGACCCCCCACTGGCTCCTCTGATCGACTTGGGAGACATTTTTGGTCAACTGAATGACAGCGAATTGCTCTGACTGGAATATAGGAGGAGGGAACCAGCTTCAACTACGCTTCCCACTGACTGAAGAAAAATGCAATGTTCCTACACTGGCTCAGTATTTAGTTAGATCCAGCCATGGAAATAAATGACTTGCATAATATGAGACATGTGACAAATCCTCACGTACTGGGATGTCCTGCTATTCAGACTGAAGGTAAAAAGCCCTTTTCTACTGAAATTTTTTCCTTACTCTGCTTTCATTGTTCAGTATTGTCTTGCTTCCATTCCTTCATCTTGTCCCTTATGGAAAAACTCCATTTTCTACCAGCAAATGATAACTTTTCTATAGTGTTTCATAGTCATTCTATACCACTAAATGAAGAATTGTATCCCGGCTATAGAATTCTACAGGATAATTACAAAAATACTCAGACTAGATGGTCACAATAGTTCCCTCTGACTTTAAAAACATACGATTCTATGAAGAAGAGCGTGGATAGAATCCCTTTTCCTTATTCAGGCAGTTAGAATGATTTCTAGTTGGTTTCACCCTTAATGAAGTCCATGGCCAACATTGTCACAAGTAGCCAGTGATTTTTGGTACCTCAGTTTCCCAGGGCCCAAACTTGAGGTGCTGATCTTAAGAGATGCTGAGCACCGGCAGTTCCTGTTGATTTCAAATGGAGTTGTGATGCGTAGCACTGCTGAAAGTCAAGATGCAAGCTAGGCTCAACTCCCGACCCAAGGGGCAGCATGTGAGAGCAATGGGCACTTTGGAGAGCTTGGCTGCATAAGCCGTTTAAGAACATTCTTGAACTTGTCTACATGAACATTTAGTTCGTGGCAAGCTAGGTGTAAATCTACCCCACACTAAAAGGCCCCTAGTGATTTTAACCTACTCCCATTTCAGAGTGGATTAGTTTAACCTATTGCAACCTAACCTTTGCTATGTAATGTGCTTAATAGTTTATATGATCCACTCGTGACCCTAATACAAAGCATTCTTTAAAAGAACAGGATTGTCGATGTTGGGTAAAACAGGGCAGGGTGAAAGCACTGGGTGAATTACATCTGCATGAGATTAAGACCATCTTTCCAGCATAAGAGGGATTTGCTTTCCCATGGTCCGTTCTGAATTCTAGTGCAGATACTGTTGCCAGAAATCAGTAGCCCTTCTTCTGTGGCCTCTGTGAATGACCTATCCACACTCATCATTGCTTGTGCTTCTTTCTCTCCACACACCAACAGCTATTCCTCCTTTGGATAAACCTCCTGGTATAATGCTTGGTTTAGAGAGCATGGCCTTTCACACAGGACCCTTAACTCCAAGCCCCAGGTCAGATGTGCGTGAATGTTAAAGATATCCGGATGCTTTTCCGCAGAGCACGGCTTTATCTTATTATTCTGAGCCAAAATGTCCTTCCACAGCTTGCGGTGTGACAGTTTGCTCCTGCCAACAGCTGCCTTTCAGTAATATTGACTGTACAGGTGGACTGTGCAGTACTTTGGAAAGAAAATATTTGTGCCAAATGAAATTTATTTCTCTACTGGATGCATTATTCCCATTCTTATGGGGACTGGGAAGTAGCAAGAGATCTTGCAAAGATTAGTGAGTGTCTTTTTAATTTGGAAAGTGAAGGGGGGGGGGGGGAGTCTTTAGTGCATGGGGTTTAACTTCAGGTTGCACTGATTGAATTTTCTTAACTAGGAAATGTATTGCCACAAATGCCCTTCCCAACTGAAAAAGATTCTTCCTTCAGCTGCACAGAGGTTTTCCTAATTCTCAAGGCACAAAGCAACTGAAGTGCTGGGGAAATTCAGGCCAGCAGCACACTCTTGTGGAGACTTCCAAAACCACACTGCAAGCCCCTTGCTCCATTTGTCTAGCTAAAGGAGACAGCAAAAACCTTTAGGTAAAGCAGGGAGCCAGCTTCCCCAGCTCTGGGGCTAACAGATTGCAGGGGAGCTATGCTAATTTACCAGAGCCGAGGATCTGGCCCCTGCTGGTTTCCACCCCCCGGAGCATAACAGTGCAGGTTGACTTCCAAGCAGCTCTTTAGCCCCACCCCAAACTTTTGTTAACAGAGGAGCTAGCATAGATTCCTGAAACCCCGTCGATTCCAGATCAGAACACACCGCAAACAAATACATTGTAGAAACCAAAGTGGTTTAAAGTCAGTTTCCTTCTTCACTTACCTACCAAGCCCCAGTGCGGGATTTCCTCTGCTGCAGGTAATGGAATCACTAAAGCCCACCACAGGGTGGTGAAAGCAGCTATCTGCCTTGCTACAGGAACTGAGAATGTCATTAACTGTTGCATAGCAGCCTGAGGCCCCTAAACCCCAGCCTCAGGCAGTTAAAGGTCTTTCAGATCCTGGCAGAGTGGATGAGGTATCCCTGTATTTGGGCAGGGAGCTGTGATCTCACACAGTTATGGGGGAAGAGCTCACCTGTAAGTGCAGCCCACTGATCTCACCCATTCAATCAGTAGCACAGCTGGGTGCTTTGCAGCTCTGAATCATCAGTCTAATCCTGGGCCCCTGGTCTGGAGAGGGGAAGACTGAGCAGCACAGGGATCTCCAACAGGAGGGAGAATTTCCTTTCAGCAAGATTAGAGAGTGAGCCCATTAGCCAGTGACAGCCAGGCACCACCCCCCCACCCCGTGGGGCATGACCAGCAAGATGGTGGGAGAGATGGCAGCAGAGGGGCCACAACACCCCCATGGGGAAATGTATGCTTAGATACCCTGGTGATAGGTCTTCTAGGAACACCCGAGAGAAACAACCCCAGCACTGCAGAGTGGTATGGTGCCCACTGATGTGAGGATGGTGCTCAGGAGGGGACATCACTGCAGAGACTGTTCCAGTGCCCCCGCCGCCCAGTGGGGTTTAACTCTATTGCAGCATGGCTGAAAATCCACCGGTGTCCCTGTGGGATGGAACAGCAGAGCCATGTAGGTTTCCCAGCCCACCCGTGGTAGGTGAGGAACTGGCAGCCCCAGCCAAGGGCATGGCTTAAACTCCCTTCAGCATGGAGGGAGGCAATCCTCGGATGACCCCGTAGAACAAAGGGCAGGAGTTCAGGAAGCAGAGAATGGAAGCCCAAAGGTGGAAGAGGAACGGGCTGGCCATTCAGACGGTCTGTGGTGGAAGACAAGGGACAGGGGCAGACACTTCCGGAGGCCCCAGAGGCCAGGCAGCTGAGCTATCGCACAGCCTCGCTGAGAAGATAAAAGGATTGTTCTTAGCCTGCCTTTCTCCAGAGGGAAGCAGCAGCCCAAACTTCTCCCTGCACCAGTCATAGGATCGTGGTGCTTTGAGATGGGAAAAGCCTAATAAGCCAGAGCCTTCACCCCGCACTGGGCACATCAACAATAGACAGGACTCAGCTGTAATGAATATAAAGGATGCTTTATTGAGGCTGCTGGACCCAGGCAGACCCTGGGGTTCCTCTCTAGCACCCAGACAGCTGCCTAGCGTCATCACACCAGGTCTCCCTGAATCCTGGCCTGGATTCAGCAGTCATGGAAGGGACTGCTGAGTGCACTGCTGGAAATAGACTCTAATTCCACCTCTGATACCACTGGAGTTTCACCATAAGGAAGCAGCCCTAAATCCAATGGAACCAGACAACAGAAGGAGGCTCAGAGTGAGTTGTGGAGACGGTTGATGCTAGACATACACCTACAAATCGATGTATCTACCTTACAAATGATAAATAATTTGCTTTAAAAATCTTTTCAAGTTTTTCTTTC